CCTGCTTTCAAGGAGCTCATGTTCTATGCCATAATTTGTATTTAGTTGTTTTCAGTTATGTCTGACTCTTCGTGACCCCATTTGGGGTTTTCTTGGTAGTGATACTGGAGTGGTTTGCCATTTCCTTCTCCAGCTCATTTTACAGATGAGGAAACTGAGGCAAACAGGGTTAGGCTGTTTGCCCAGGGTCACAAAGCTAGTAAGCCTCTGAGGCCAGATTTGAACTCACTTCCTGACTCTAGGCCTGGCACTCTATCCACTAAGCTGCCCCTATAATTTGTTTAGTCATTACTTAATTGATGGGTGTCCCCTTAGCTTTTAGTTCTCTGGCACTACAAAAAGGGCTGCTACAAATATTTTGGTACATATGGGTCCTTTTCCTCTTTCTTTGATGTGTTTTGGATCTAGGGTTTCACTAGGTCACAGGATATGCACAGTTTAGTGACTTTGGGGGTGGAGTTCCAAATGGCTTTCCAGAATGGCTGGTCACAGTTCTGCCAACAGCATGTCAATGTGCCCATCTTCCTACAGCTACTCCTAAAATTTCCATTTTCCCTTTTTTTTCATCTTTGCCAATCTGTTAAGCATGAAGTGAAACCTTTATATGAGGATACTTAAATTTGCATTTCTGTCATTATTAGTGATTTGGAACAATTTCCCCCCCCATATGACTATCAGTGGCTCCGATTTCTTCCTTTGAGAATTGCCTATTCATATCCTGTAGCTATCAATGCACTTCCTATATGTGGCATCTTCTTTAAATATGAGTTCCAACAACTGAATGCAGATGTACACATGTGTTCTGACCAGAGCAGAATCCTGGATGCCAATGTCTTTCTTGTTGTTAGTCAGTCATTTTGGTCATGTCTGACTCTTTGTGACCTCATCTAGGGTTTTCTTAGTCCAGATATTGGAGTGGTTTGCCATTTCCTTCTCCAGTTCATTTTACAGATGAGGAAACTGAGGCAAATGGGGTGAAGTGACTTGTTCAGGGTAACATAGCTGAAAAGCGTCTGAGGCCAGATTTCTTATCATTAAGTAAAATGCAACGGCAGCCACAGTCCAAGCTATAAAATCATAAAGGATAATCCCAGTGAATCTGGATTGCCTTCCTTTGACCAACCACCCCAACCTATCTTCTCCTGGGTTCACATCCTTCTACTTCCCACCCTTGGTGGATTCCTGAAGGGGTGTCAGTACTAGAGGCCTCTAGCCCTGATGACTTGTGCTGAACAATGGTAATGATCTTCCTGCTTGGTCATGAGAGAGGGGTGGGAATGGTCCTATTTGCCCATTCTGACTGCTGTATGGAGCAGAGATTTTGACCCAGTATTTTGAACCTCTTATTTAGAGGGTTAAAAGACTCAGCTCAAGTGTCAGCTTCTATGTGAGTCCTTTTGTGATCCCCTCACCTGCTAGTGCGTCTTCACAAAAATTAGCTTATACCTTTGTATACAACTATGTAGGGATATGTTTTCTCTGGCTAGACTGTAAGCTCCATGGGGACAGGGGACATTTCACTTTTGTCTTTGTACCCCCAGAACCCAGCACAGTTCCTAGTACATATCAGATACTTAAAAATGAATGTTGATTGAGGATTTCTTCTTACTGACAAGAAGGATGGCTGAAGATCTGACCCCTTGGACTAAAATGGTTACATCAATAAATCAACAAGCATCTATCAAGTACACGTTATGTGCCAAGCACTGGAGAGGCAAAGACAAAATATCGCCATTCTTGCTCTCAAGAAGCTTGCATTACATCATTTACATGTTGAGGAATAAGAGAAAGAAAAAAACCATTGGTGAAAAGGAAGTAGAGAAACACAAAAGCCCACACTGAAAGAATTGTGTCCAATTCTGGGGCTAGAATTTTAGGAGGGATATTGAGGGGATTTTGCCTGATGTGTGGTAGACCCTTCTGAGCTTGTTTTGGTCTGATCAGTCGCAGCTGGATAGACTACCTTGACCCTAACATCATGACGTCATTGTGGTCCTCTTTAAAAAAAAGGAACAATAAGCAATATGGAGGGGAGAGGAGGGCAAACAAGATGGCGAGAAGACCATGAGATGTCAGGATCGGTTGAAGGAATTGAGAGTGTTTTTCTCTGAAAAGAGAAAATTTAGGTGAAGCATGATTATTTTCTTCTAGAATTTGAAAGAACATTACACGGAAGAAGGATTAACTAGTCTTGTTCTATCTGTCCCTAGAAGGTAAAATTAATTTAGAGGTTGAAAACTATATTTCAGCTTATATAAGGGAAAGTTTGCTAAGAATGAGAACCAACCCAAGGAAAACTACCCTGACATCTTCGATTCAGAGGGTAAAATAGACATTGAAAGAATCTACCAATTACCTCCTGAAAGAGATCCCAAAATGAAAATGCCCAGGAATATAATACCCAAATTTCAGAGCTCTGAGGTAAAGGAGAAAATATTGCAAGCATCCAGAAAGAGACAATTCAAATATCATGGAGTCACAGTCAGGATCATACAAGATTTAGCACCTTCTACACTAAAGGATCAGAGGGCTTGGAATATGATATTCTGGAGGGCAAAGGAGTTAGGATCATAACCAAGAGTATCCTACTCAGTAAATCTGAATACAATCCTTCATGGGGTGGGGGTAGTGGGATATTTAATGAAATAGAGGACTTCCAAGTACTTCTGATGAAAAGACCAGAGCAGAATAGAAAATTTGGCATTCAAACAGAAGACTCAAGAGAATCATAAAGAGGTAAACACGAAAAAGTAATCATAAAGGTCCCAACGGAGTTAAATTATTCCTATATGGGAAGAAGATACATGAAACTCCTAAGAACTTCATTATTTTTAGGGCAGTTAGGAGGAGTCTGCATAGACAGAGGGCACAGGTGTGAGTTGACTATGTTGGGATGATCTCCATAAAAAGAATACAGGGTGAGAAAGAGGGATACATTGAGATAAGGAGGACAGAAGAGATAGAATGGACAAATTTTCTCATGTAAAGGAGGCACATAAGGAAGAGCTTTTGCAGTAGAGGGGAAAATGGTGGTGGGGGTGGCTGTCAATGCTTGAACCTTATTCTCTTCAGAACTGGTTCAAAGAGGGAAGAATATATATATATATATATATATATATATATATATATATATATATATATATATATATATATATGCATATACACACACACACACACATATATATATGCATATACACACACATACTCAGTTAGGTGTAGAAATCTAGCTTGCCCAACAGGGAGAGAGGGGAGGAGGATAAGAGATATGGGGATAGGGGATGGTAAGGGGAGGGCAGATTGGGGAAGGCAGTGGTTGGAAGAAAGACAGACTTCTGAGGAGGGTCAGGATAATAAGAGAGAGAAAAGGATAAACAGAGAAAAATGGGATGGAGGGAAATGCCCAGTTAGTGATCACAACTGTAAATGTGAATAGGATGAACTAACCCCTAGAATGGAAGTGGATAGCAGAATGGATTGGAAACCAGAATCCAACAATATGTTGTTTACAAGAGACACACTCGAAACAGAAATGCACACACAGAGTTAAAGGGCTAGAACAGAGTCTATTATGCTTTAGCTGAAGTGAAAAGGGCAGGGGTGGCAATCATGATCTCAGCCAAAACAAAAGTGAAATTAAGTCTAATTGAAAGAGATAATCAGGGAAACTACATTTTTGCTAAAAGGTACCATAGATAATGAAGTAATATCAAAAAATTTTACAGCAAGTTTCTCTGATAAAGGTCTCATTCCTAAAATATATAGGGAACTGAGTCAAATTTCTAAAAATAAGTGTCATTCCCCAATTGATAAATGGTCAAAAGATATGAACAGTTTTCAGAAGAAGAAGTCAAAGTTATCTATAGTCATATAAAAAAATTGTCTAAATCACTATTGATTAGAGAGAGGCAAATTAAAACTGCTCTGAGGTACCACCTCAGACATATCAGAAATGACAAATGCTGGAGGAGATAAGGGAAAATATGTACATAAATGAACTGTTGGTAGAGTTGTAAACTGGTCCAATCATTCTGGAGAACAATTTGTAACTATGCCCAAAGGGCTGTAAAACTGTGTATACCCTGTGACCCAGGGATACCACTGATAGGTGTGTATCCCAAAGAGATCAAAGAAAAAGCAAAAGAACTTATATGTACAAAAATATTTATGGCAGCTCTTTTTGCGATGGCGAAGAATTAGACATAGAGGGGATGCTCATCAATTAAGGCATGGCTGAACAAGCTGTGGTATATGATTGTGATGAATATTGTGCTATATGAAATGATGAGGGAGGTGCTTTCAGAAAACACACCACAAATTCTATATGAACTCATGCAAAGTGAAGTGAGAAGAACCAGGAGATCACTGTACACAGTAACAACAATGTTATAATGATGATCAACTCTGAAAGACTTGGTACTCTGATTAATACAGTGATCCAAGACAATTCCAGAGAGCTCACGATGAAAAGCTAGGCGACACAGTGGGGAGAGTGCTGGGGCTGAAGTCAGGAAGATTCATGTTCCTGAGCTCAAATCAGGCCTCATACACTAACTGGGCAAAACACTTAACCCTGTTTGCCTCAGTTGCCTCATCTGTAAAATGAGCTGGAGAAGGAAATAGCAAACCACTCCAGTATCTTTGTCAAGAAAACCCTAAATGGGGTCACAAAGAGTCAGACATGACTTAAGCAACTGAATCACATGATGAAAAAATGCTATCTACCTCCAGAGAGAGAACTGATTAAATTGCAAATTGAAGTATAATTTTCTCGCTTTCTTTGGATTTATTTTTTGCTTTTTTTTGAGATATGGCTAATATGGAAATCTGGGTTTTTTTGTTTAAATTTTCATTTTACTTTGGGAAAAATCACATATACATTTAACCCAATTTGGTTGCAAGTTCTTTAGCTTTTGCCTTTTCCAGCTTGGCAATACGAGCCACTGATTTTGGAACCAGAACATTGCCATGTTAGTGATAACGGATCTCATCATATCTGTCACTGTAATTGGTTTTGATGGCTTCTACCAGATTAGCCAGGGCTCCCTTATCTTCAGGGTTAACCTGTGTGAAGGCAATGCTCGCGCATGATTTCAAATGTATAACTAATATCATATTCTTTGCCTTCTCAGTGGGTGAGGGAGGGGTAAGAGGAAGGGAAAGAATCTGGGACTCAAAATTTAAGAAGAAAAGAATGTTAAAAATAAATAACATTTTTAAAAGAAAATTTAATTATTTCACATTTATTTAGTGTTGTGAATTTTGAACAATAAATTTAGTATTTTAATTTTCACAAGATGGGACACTCTCTCATTATGCATCGCATAAGCAACAGGTTCCTGATGATAGTTTCTCAGATGGCTGAATGGGTAGTGGAAGGCCTAATCTATCTCCATTAAACTTTTTTTTAATGTGTGGTCATGTCAAAACTGTCAAGTACACATCAAAATCTCATTTTTTTTGTATGATCTTAAGGTTATGATTACAAATGCAATCACTGAGCAGCAGCTGAGGAAAAGTTTGTACAAAGTTCAAAAGTCACCCCGAGCGATATATAGGACAAACTGATGCTTACGTGGAATTTTAATAAAACAAAAACCATAGCAACATTAAAAAATTTTAAATAACCAAATTTTAAATGTTGTTTTTGTAAGTTAGTAATTTTCATGCTTCTGAAGTTATTAAAGCTTAAATGTACACTAAGACTTTTGGGACACTTGAACAATTACGACGTTATAAAAACAAACACTTTTGAAAAACTTAAGAACTCACATCAATGCAATGACTAATCATAGTTCCAGAAGACTGACAGCAAAAAGTGCTAACCCCTCCTCCACATACACACACATACCCAGCCCCACTTCTTGGCAGAAGGAGTGGATTCCATATGCAGAATGAGACATATTTTATTTTTTTAAAACATGGTCAATGTGGGAATGTTTTTGCTTGATATGTGTGTGTGTTTATTTGTCATAAGGGTTATATTTTTTTCCCTTTTTTTCAGTAGGAGGAAAGAGGTGGAAGTGAGAAAAATAAATGTTTGCTCATTAAATTTTTTTTAATTAAAAAAAAGTGGAATGGATAGCTTCAGAAGTCATAAGTTTCCTTTCACTGGGAACTTTCAAAGAGGCTGCATGAGTGCTGGTTCCAGGATGCTGCAGATGGGTGACCCAGGTGATTCCGAGGTCCCCTCTGATGCTCAGATTCTATGAGTTGGTAAACAATATGCCTTTGAGTTTAACAAAGAGCTCTCCCATCTCTCTCTACCTGTGGAGGCATGCTAAGGTTGGTATGCAGCCAATCCTATCCCCATGGCTCTGAGTCCTCTTCAGCTGGACAGCTCTGACCACCACTACCCTCATTATCTTCTATAGCAAAGGCTGAGCCTGGCAGACCAGATAAGAAGGGTCTTTTCCATACAAGGAGGATCACTCCACCTCACCAGTCCATGAAGATGGAAGAGGGGAGCTAGACTGAAAATGGGTCACATTCTGCTCAAAAGGTTCTGGGTTCATCCCCTCCCTATGCAATCAGTGTGTCCCAAGGAGAAAGTCTGTGATGTTAACTTTTAGAAATCAAAACATACTAAAGGCACCAGGAGAGCTGGGCCACTTAATCCTATGGTAGGCTTATTTTAATCTCATAGGATGGTATTTTGTTTTTTTGCTTGTCCTTCCTTTTCAAAGAGAACCAATGACATCGTGGGGTAATGTCTTGACTCACACATGAATTATCTATTTAAAGCTGGAAGAGGCCATCTAGTCTACCCCCCCATTTTACAGATGAGGAAACTGAGGATCAGAAATTAATAATAACAACAACAATGATGATGATGATAATAGCTAAGATTTATTAAGTACCTACTATGTGCCAGGGACTATGCTAACCACTTTACAGATATTGTCTTATTTAATCCTCACAACTACCCTGGGAAGTACGTGCTCTTATTATCCCCATCTTACAGATGAGGAAACTGAGGTTGAGAGAGGTTAATGATGATGATGATGATGATGCTATCCCTAAGATTTATTAAGTACCTACTACGTGCCAGGCACTATGCTAAGTGCTTTATAATTATTATGTCATTTGATCATTATGACAACTCTGAGAGGCGGGTGCTATTATTATCCCCATTTACAGATGAGGAAACTGAGGCAAGCAGAGGTTAAGTGACTTGCCCAGGGTCACACAGCAAGTGAATGTCTGAGGTTGGATCTGAAATCAGATCTTCCCGACTCCAGGCTCAGTGCTTTATCCACTGAGCTACCTAGCTGCTCCAGGTTAAGGTTAAGTGACTTGCCTGTCATTACAGTTATCCCTTCCACATCACAACTTTCCCCATCTCGATTTTAATATATCTCAGGCTGGCATAAGAAATTAAATGGGGGGGCAGCTAGATGGCACAGTGGATAGAGCACTGGCATTGGATTCAGGAAGACCTGAGTTCAAATCTGGCTTCAGACACTTGACACTTAATAGCTGTGTGACCCTGGGCAAGTCACTTCACCCCACTGCCTCGGAGAAAAAAAGAAAAAATTAAATGGGAATTTTGGGGGAGTTTGGCAGAAGCCACAGATGACACGTGAAGGCTAACAGAGATACAGAACCTGTGATCAAATACTTAACTCAAATTTTATAGTAAGGTACTGTAAATGGCCTGTAAAAGAAAAAGAAAAAATTTCAGACTTCCTTTTCTGGTAGGAAGGGAAGACCAAAAAGTTTATGGGGATTTTCCAGATTGTGGAAAGGGGGGCACACCCCTAACATCCCCCTCATGTGGAAGTACATACCTAAGAAACATTTGAAACAGGATTTGAACCCAATTTGTCCAGACTCTAAGTTGACTCTATCCAAATACGTCATGGTGGCACCTGAAAACGTGACTTTTCCCAAGTCATGCAGGTAATAAGTAGCAGAGGGAGAAGCTAAGAGCTTCTAACTCTAAAGTCAATTCTCTTAAATGCTCTGCTTGTGGACACCTTTTAAGCGGTGGCTAGGTAGCGCCACACTGCACAGAGCACTGAGCCTAGAGTCAGGAAGACCTGGGCTCAAATCTAGCCTCAGACAATCACTAGCTGTGTGATACTGGGTAAGTCACTTAACTTCTGTTTGCCTCAGTTTCATCAGCTGTAAAATGGAGGTGATAATAGCACCCACCTCCGAGGACTGTTGTGAGGATCAAATGAGATATCTTAGCACAGTACCTGCACATAGTAGGTGCTATATAAATGTTGACTATGATGATGATTATTATTATGGAACATTCACTTCCAAATACTTCATTCCTCTTTCCAGAACCCTCCCTTGTAGCAAAGATTTAAAGGGTTAAGTCAGTAAGCATTTATTAAATGCCTACTGTGTGCTAAGCATTGTGCCAAGTGCTAAGGATTCAGAAAAAGGCCAAAAGCAATCCCTGTTCTCAAGGAATTCCCAGTCTAATGAGGGAGACAACGTGCAAAAAACTACTGTGTGTACAAATAAGATATATACAGGAAAAACTAGAGATAATTAATAGAAGACAGTCACCAGCATTGGGGGATTGGGAAAGGCTTTTTATAGGTGAGATTTTAGCTGGGACTTAAAGGTAATTAGGGGAGCCAGGAAGTGGAGAAGAGTAGGGAGAGAGGTCCAGGCATTGGGGGCAGCCAGTGAAAATGCACCATCAGGAGATGGTGTGTCATGGGAAAGGAACTAATATCACTGAATTGTTGAGCGCACAGAAGGGAGTAAGAACCTGGAAAAGTGTCAAGTTATAAAGGGCTTTAAAAGCCCAACAGAAGATTGTATATTTGATCTTGGAGGTAATCAATAGCCATTGAGTTTATTGAATGCGCAAGATCAATTTGACATCTGAGTGGAGGATGGAGTGGAGTGGGAAGACACTTGAGTCAAGGAGACCGACCAGATTCTATTGTAATATTCCTCTCTTGAGGTGGTCAGGACCTGTACCAGGATGGTGGCAGCATCAGAGGAGGCAAAGGGGTATATACAAGAGACGTTACAAAGGTAGCATCACTAGGACTTGGCAACAGATTGGATGTGTGGGGTAGGGTGAGTGTGGAGTCAAGGATAAGCCCTAGGTTGCAAGTCTGGGTGACTGGAAGGATGGTGATGCCTTTGCTAGTAATAGGGAAGGGAAGAGGAGGGAAGGGCTTGGAAGAAAAGATAATGAGTTCAGTTTTGGACATGCTGAGTTTAAGAAACAAAAGAGCAGCTCAGCAAATAATACCTTGACTGTTGATAAAAGTATAGGCAATATTCCATACCCATAGACCCCATCCCCACCTCTTCAATGAAGGAAGAGTGATATAACCTCTCAACTCTTCTCTGGGTCAAAACTCAATCATTATAATTATGTGACATTACAATATAATTACAAAATATTACAATGTTATGATACTCAATGTAGTTTTCAGTTGATGAATCCCTTTTTTAAAAAAATCATGTTATGATTAACTTGTTTTTTTACACGACCTTCATTTCTGAATTTATTCCTCTCCCGATGTCACCCAGAAAGTCATCTTGTAGAGAATGAAAGAATAAAAAAGAAAGAGGGAGGAAAGCAGTCTAGTGAAATTTAACACACAATCATTGATTCCAACAGTATATGCTGTGATCCACATGCATGACCCCCTCACTCTGCTGCTGCTGCTGTTGCTTGAAGCCTCGTGCTCAAAGGGACCAAAATGGCAACACAACGTTGGGGTGTCAGACTGTGATCACAGCAATACGACCTTGAAAGGCTCCACCACAGGTGGGGCACAAGTAGTCTGCACTCTGCAAAGAAGGAAGGAATGGGCATCCTCATATTTCTTCTCAATGTATGCCTTTTGACAAGAAAATTAACACAGATGCATCCTTAATTTTGTCTTTCTTGTGAATGTGAATTTTCATCTGTCTTTTTTATCTCAAGTGGGGCCAACCTAGATGTCTTGGTTCATGTACTTGGTAAACTGCATTAGGACCCCTAGGCTACAAGGGGATTAATTAGTGGGGGGATTAATAGGTGTCTCAGAAAAGTCATTTATTAAATGGCTCTTGGCTCAGCAACCAAAGGAATCAATACATTTCCTCCTCCGG